GCAGCCTAAGGCTGATGGCAGACAACTATCCGTAAGCGCTTAAGGGTGGAGTCCCATGGAGCGGAATACGCGGAAGCGGAATCAGCGGATCGCCAATCGCAAGATTATTCTGATAGAGCCCTTTCAAAAATTCCGTCGAAACGGTCTTGTGATTGGCGATCCGCTGATTCCGCTTCCGCGTATTCCGCTCCATGGGACTCCACCCTTAGACTGACGTAGTTGTAGACTTAGGCCCGGTCTACAATGAGTTGTTAGTCGTTAGTCAGAAGTCGGAACTATATGTCGGTCCTTTTTCTTCCACCTAGAAAGGAAAAGGATCAACATATAGTTGCGACTTCTGACTAACGACTAACGACTCATTGTAGACCGGGCCTTAAGGTAAGGCAGAGAAAAACGTAAGCCGTAAGGAACACGTGTTCCACGGCTTACGTTTTTCTCTGCCTTACCTTAAGTCTACGACTACGTCAGTCTTAAGCGCTTACGGATAGTTGTCTGCCATCAGCCTTATTTCAAAATCATCTCAAGTGTTGTCTTAAGAGGCTACTACGGCTCTGCGATTGGTTAAAAACACATTAAGAGTATACTTAAGATTATCTTAAATATAAAACGGACTGTGTGAATATCGGTCCACATGCTCCTGCTTGCCACAACAATCAATACCGTCACTTAAATCTTAAATAAAATGATTGGTATTGATAATAGGTCGTTGGGGCAAGCAGGGGCTCGATTCTTGAATTTATTCGGAAGATGTTTATCTAACGTATGAACGAAAATTCCACTCTCACAGAACAGTTGAAAGTCGATTGGTTAAAAACCATGCGAATCAGCCCATCAATTTACAACTTTTCTGTAAAGGCCTGTGTCCACGATGCTAGGACTTGGTCCAAATTCGTAATTTACGCTTTACGCAGGTTACGCTGCACGTGACGGCACTCTGAGTCTGTTCGCATCGCATATCCCAACATGCCCTAGGGCTCAATCTTGGATTTATTCCTAGGAGAAACGTATGCGAAACTTATGCTCTTAATACAAGTTGGACCAAGTCCTAGCATCGTGGACACAGGCCTCAAGAGCATAAGTTTCGCATACGTTTCTCTTAGGAATAAATCCAAAATTGAGCCCTAGGGCTAGAGGTGTGTTGGGATATGCGATGCGAACAGGCTCAGGGTGCCGTCACATGCAGTGCAACTTGCGTAAAGCGTAAGTTACAAAAACCAATTACAAATTCGTTTAGCATTTCCGTTCGAGGGTACAAGAAAAACTCTAATCCACTATTAGTTGTTTCAGTTACGCTTTACGCAGATTACACTATGGCTGTGTTCAGCAGAAGTTAGCGCTTAATAAGCGCTTTATGCTGGTTGGATAGATCTAGAAGAATAGCTCTATTTCAGCACAGATCTGAAAGTATAATCCAATGAGCGCAAAGCGCTTAGCAAGCGCTAACTTCTGCTGAACACAGTCCATGTGTGACGGCACCCTTACAGTCTCCGATCAGTGGAAACAAGCAGATCGGTAAATTTGTTCAATTCAAAAAGATTGGTTTATGAACGCAGCCCAGTGTTTACATACCTATTTCATTTCCGGTCGCTACGTATACAGGTTGGTCAAGAATAATAAAGGTGCATTCTGCAAAATAATTCAGCCTAATTATATGAAGATCATCCAATACAAACCAATTGAGTTACTTTGTATATGACAAGTTACAGATATTACTAAAATATTGCCTAGAGCTATCCAAAATTTGCAATTCTTTGATGTATATTGATCGTTTATACTTGATTTCTCCTTCCTTGGTTCTCTCATATTTGTCTTTTTTTTGCCATTATATGAATGAAATGTACATGTATAAAAACATTTTTATTTGCTTCTTTGGATTACCCGTGTTAGATGATATATTGTGCAAGATACTTGTATTACTTAATCATGCAAAATAATATGATAAGAAACAATGCTTGTCCAATGTATAAACAACTATAAGAAAGTCAACAAGTTATTCAGAATGAAATTAAGTATCTGACAAATTTGTATATAGCAACAGAAATAACCTATACATAATTTGACATAGTCCGTTGCCTATAGCTAATCTATACATAGCTCGACACGTTCTGAGAACGTGATCAAAAGTGATAAAACAGGTTGAAAAATATCACTTGGGGAAAGTTGACAGAACCGTAACAATAACGCGGAATTTGATTTTATAAGGAAAGCATTGACGAGTTTATTGAATAAGTCAAAATCATATTTCGACTTTTATCATATATACTTGCAAACGTAAAAAGAACGATGCATAAAAATTTCTACTTACATATATTCAAAATAATATAAGCAGGGATAAATTGAGAGCTATGAAAGGAGAAACGATAGAAGCGTACACGCTTCGAGTCAATGTCCAGAATTACAAATGTTGGTCTATAAGCTATGCTAGTCTAGATAATTACTATCCTCGTCTTCCAACCATCGTTTTTGCATCTCGAATTCCTCATCCAATGTCAATGGCTCAGAGCTCGTCAAATACTGCAATATAGGATTTTTCATCCACTCGTGATACCTTAACATAATTTCCGAGATAACGCATCAGTCGGATTCTTGTATTATTAGACGTACGTTTAACCGAATTCAATAGTTGCTTTCCTTTTACATGAAAACTCAGATAAATCTCACTTGTGACGTCATAACTCAGTTGAATGCATGTTCCTTTTGATTCTTGAAAGTGAGATTCAACCAGATTTAACTGTGTTTTTTCACACGATCAAGACCGTGTGCTTTAGTGAGTTTAATAGACTCACATTAATGACGTCATATCTGAGTATAAAATACTCACATAACTGAGTGACTCAGTATCACTTGAGTGTAAAAGGAAAGCAGCTATTATTACGTGTAAAGAGAGAAGAGATGTAATACAATACAAACTTTGTAACGTGTTTTTCTTCGTACGGTACCAAAATTACGTTCGTTCCGCTGATACGAGTGTTCACGTTTCTCCTCATGATTAAATAAAAATTTAATTTAAAAATTAGCTTTTCATATCCTTTAGCATACAATCACGATACGGTAAATTACGTGAAACTTAGTCCAATCTTTTCTTCTTACGATGTTTACCGCTCGTACAGCTCCCAAGAGTCCCAAGCCCAAGTACTGTGTCCCGAGCATAGACATATAAAAGATAGACTGTTTATGAGGTATTATTATTATTAAGTTTCTGGCTCCTGGCTCCATCTGGATCCAATACGGCCATGTCTAGCCAATTGTCGTGGTGCTTATGAGGTAGTGGGGAATATCCTCCTGAGGGAAAAGGACAACGCCAATTTATTTGGGTATCTATCTTCTTCTAGTGTGGCGTGGGCGTGATCACGTGATCGCCTTCAGATCACGTCCACTAGAGGAAGACAGATACCCAAATCACTGAAATATATATACTAACTGGAACGCGCGCTAGAGCCGAGCCGTGTGTACCGAGAGAGAGCATCGTCGAGTGGCGTTTGTCATTGTCTGGCTTATAGGGTGGTCGAGAGTGGGGACGGAAAGGTACAGTCCGATCGAGAAATTAGCTCGTTGTCAGAGGTTACACGATCTCGCGCAGTTGTGCTGCGCTTCGAGATAACTCTTGGTTCGAACTGTACT